CCCCAAAACCCCAAAACCCCAAAACCCCAAAACCCCAAAACCCCGTTGGGAATTATAAAAATTGAAAATGAAGAAGGCGGTTTGGATATTGTGTTTGGTGTGACTTGTGATAGGGGGAAAGAAAGGTAATTTGAGGTGGCGATTTGGATTATAGAAGGAGAAATAAAATGTTTGACAAATGATGGATTTGAGTTATACCAGATTTGTAAGAAATCTATGGAAAGTTGAGAAGAAGAGTTTAAAAAGTACTTTAATCATACTGATGAATACGGCTGGATGCCTACTTGTGAATCAATTGCACTTGGAAATATAAAGAAAACTAGCAAAAATTTAGAAGATTTATGCGAAATTCCAACTTTTCTTCTTTCAATAAACTACATCTTAACGCTTGAAAATCAAGAGAACTTACTAAAATATCTATGGGAGCCCTTACAGCTTAGATACAAGCATTGCTACAGATCAAATTCAAACTTCCATCTTGAAGGAGGGTACAGATTCAGTAATTTTCTTTATAAATTTGATAGCAAAGGACACTCCTATTGAATTTGATGATTACTACATGACCAGCCTAGAGATGAACTGATGGATGGCTGAATACTCCAGAATTCTTCAGAGTGTTAGTGACTACTTTACAAAGTATTAGAGGTAATAAATGCATAGGAGAGATATTCAAGTCCGAAGGCTAAAAGGGTTCGAGTATGATTTTCATCATCTTCTTACCAAAGAAGCCATTTCCAAATTCAACTACGACCAGAACCTCAAAGTGTTCACTTCTTTACTAGGCTACCAGCCTGTGAACAACACACAGTGTGATATTAAGGATCCTGAATGCTTGGAAATGACTCCTTATAGGCTAACTTTTGAAGAGATTAGGTATGAAAGCTTGTGTCCGTATATTTTTAACCTGACTGATGAGAAGATGGATTTGGGTAAGAAATTTGTGTCATTTTGGTTTAGAGTTATTAGAATATATCACTATTCAAGCTTTGCCATCATCATATCTACCTTACCTAGAGACTTACATTTCAAGTAAGATTTCTTTCAAAACCCTAGATCACTACCCCAACACTCCCATCCAAGCCCAACTCATCAAAGAAATCACCAAAAGACACTCATAATTCAATTTCCCACTATCCCACCGGGGTTTTGGGGTTTTGGGGTTTTGGGG